CCACCCTGAGCTTGCTTTGCACTTCCTGACTGGTCTTGTGACCCTCTGTTCTCCCCCACTCTGCCTATGGGGGTGTGTCAAACATATGTATATCTATGTTATATTTTGGGTAGGCTTAGTGGGGTACACACTGTGGGGTACAACCCCTTAGGTTCATTTTCCTTGTACCAACCTTCTCGATAGTCGACATCACTCATGCCTAGCTTCTAAGAATATGTACCCCAGTGCTATAGTGAACATCCCTCCTCTTCTCTTCTCTCGACTCTCGCCTCCTTGGCACCAACTATCTCGACCCCCCTTTGGCCTAGGCTACTAAGCCTAGGCCCAATTAACCTAACTACTCTTGCCACTATTACGACATGGTATTAGAGCCTGTTACGTCCTGGCCTGTGGGCCAGCCTCACGCTTCCGCAGCTGTTTTTCCGGTCGCGCGCCTCGGGCGCGTGGCGATTTTCGTTCTGTCCCGCGCCCGGGTGGCGCGTGACGTTTTTTCTGCTCTGAGCCGTAGCGGATCCGCCCCTGGCGCCCGCGACGGTGTTCTGCCTGCCTGCCTGCCTGCCCGTCGTGCGCCCCGTGGCGCGCGACGGTGCCCTGAGCCGCCGTGGACCCGCCCCTGGCGCCCGCGACGGTGCCTTGAACCGCCGCGGACCCGCCCCTGGCGCCCGCGACGGTGCCCTGGGCCGCTGCGGACCCGCCCCTGGCGCCCGCGACGGCGCCTCTGCCTCACCTCGCGCCTGCCTTCGAGCAGCCGCCCCTGACTCACCCGCGTCTGCCCTCGGAGCAGCCGCCCCTGCCTCACCCGCGCCTGCCCTCGGAGCAGCCGCCTCTGCGTCACATGCGCCTGCACTCGGTGCAGCCGCCCCTGCCCTTCCCTGTGCGCCACCCCTCTGTGGCCGTGGGGCGGCTTCCCCCCCGCCACCCCCCCCCCCCCCCCCCCCCCCCCCCTCCCCTCCTCCTTCTTCTCTCTGCTGCGCGTGCAGCCGTGGGGGGGAGGGTATGGAGGTGGCGGGTATGGGGGTGATGGGTGTCTGTGATCCCCTTCCCCTCCTCCTCCTTTTGTTCCCACTGCTGCAGCTGCCGCTGGGGGGAGGGTGTGAGGGTGTGGGGGAGCCAGGGGAGTGGCATGTGGGTGGCGGGTGTGACACCATCCAACCCCCCGTCCCTCTGAGGTGGGGGGGGGGGGGGGGGGGGAGGAGAGTAAAGGGGTGGCAGGAGTGCCTCCCCCTTTGCTGCTGTACCTGCTTTGTTACCTTGCCTGCTGTTGCTGTTTTCTCTGTTCGTGGTGTACCCATCCAGGATGTGTCGCTGCACAGACTCCTGCTTCTGGCAGTTATGGGGGAGTGTTAGAATATATCTGTAACTGCCTGTAGCTGTAGTTAGTGTAGTTATTATAAACTTGTTGGTGGTGCACCTTCTTTGCATCCTTTGTTTGCTATATGTACCCCAGTGCTATAGTGAACATCCCTCCTCTTCTCTTCTCTCGACTCTCGCCTCCTTGGCACCAACTATCTCGACCCCCCTTTGGCCTAGGCTACTAAGCCTAGGCCCAATTAACCTAACTACTCTTGCCACTATTAGTTGGAACAACTCAGATATTGTGTGGAACTTAGGCTCGAAAGGGGCTTTAAAAGGGAGGAAAGAAATGAAGAAGAAGACCAAATTTGAAGGGTTTCACCATCTCACCTTCTCCAGCATGTCATGACGTCGCGCTACAACATGCCCCTCCTGCCGCATCTCCACCACCAGCTGGCACGCCGCCCGCAGATGTCCCTCCACCCGCTCTCTACAGTGCTTCGCCACGCCCTTTTGCAGCAGAGGCAGCGTGCACCCCGTAGGGGCAAACAGGCAGGGGAGTTCATCCCACAGTCCGTCGCATAGTGCCTCTGGCCAGAAATGTGCTGGGCCGACTGACGTAGCACTTCGGTCACCGATTCTAAGGCCTCGTTCCAAAACGGATTGAATCCAATGCCTGCGAGCTAGTGTGAAATGCTTCAGAAACCGTTCGGCAAGCTGTGCGACACGATTACCCCAAGCTCTACCGGTACAATGGGTCATCATCTGCTGACAAGTTTAGCCAGAAGGAGCACCTATTTCTTGCCCGCATATAAAAAACCATACACTTCGTTCCAGTTTTTTCATCCCCAAAACGCGGAAGGATCCGCACATGTGCAAAAAATGCAGCAGGCATGGTTCATTCGCCAGTGCCAATGACCGATCATGCTCGTCACCCTCCCAGCCTCTTCCTGGCTTGGTAATAGGACCAAACGCACATAGCAGCATGACCGGACGGAAGAAAAAGGCCAACGAGCGTTTTCACCCCAAAAACGCGGAAGGATCCGCACATGTGCAAAAAATGCAGCAAGCATGGTTCATACGCCCGTGCCAATGACCGATTGTGCTCGTCACCCTCCCACACCCTTGCTAGCTTGGTAATAGATCCAAACGCACACAGCCGCGTGACCGAATGGAAAAAAAGCGCGCGGAACAAGCGTTTTCATCCGCAAAACGCGGAAGGATCAACACATGTGCAAAAAATGCAGCAGGCCTGGTTCATACGTCCGTGCCAATGACGGTTCATGCTCGTCACCCTCCCACGCACTTGCTGGCTTGGTGATAGGTCCAAACGCACACAGCCGCGTGACCGAAAGGAAGAAAAACGCCCGGAACGAGCGTTTTCATCCCCAAAACGGGGAAGGATCCGCACATATGCAAAAAATGCAACAGGCATGGTTCATACGCCAGTGCCAATGACGGATCATGCTTGTCACCCTCCCACGCCCTTGCTGGCTTGGTGCTAGGTCCAAACGCACACAGCCGCGTGACCGAACGGAAGAAAAACGCCCGGAACAATCGTTTTCATCCCCAAAACGCGGAAGGATCCGCACATGTGCAAAAAATGCAGCAAGCATGGTTCACACGCCAGTGCCAATGACGGATCATGCTCGTCACCCTCCCACGCCCTTGTTGGCTTGGTGATAGGTCCAAACGCACACAGCCGCGTGACCGAACGGAAGAAAAACGCACGGAACGAGCGTTTTCATCCCCAAAACGCGGAAGGATCCGCACATGTGCAAAAAGTGCGGCATGCATGGTTGATTCGCCAGTGCCAATGACCGATTATGCTCGTCACCCTCCCACGGCCTTGCTGGCTTGGTGATAGTGTCAGAGGTCCACTGGTGATCCCCGATTGATCATAGGGAAGGGTTACAGGCTCGTTGTCTTGGGGGATTGTGGGCGCACTGACCCGCTACTTAACAAGCCCTTTTATCCCAATGGTCTAGTGGTTGGGATTCTGACATGGTATTAGAGCGGTCTCGGGTTGGAATCCCAGTGTGTGCACTTCGGGCATCCCAGTGCGGGGGGGTGTAAGAGGTCCACTGGTGATCCCGATTGATCCTAGGGAAGGGTTACAGGCTCGTTGTCATGGAGGGTTGTGGGCGCACTGACCCGCTACTTAACAAGCCTTTTTATCCCAATGGTCTAGTGGTTGGGATTCTGACAAATAGGTCCAAACGGACACAGCCGCGTGACTGAACATAAGAAAAACGCCCGGAACGAGGGTTTTCATCCCCAAAACGCGGAAGGATCCGCACATGTGCAAAAAATGCGGCAGTCATGGTTCATTCGCCCGTGCAAATGACCGATCGTGCTCGTCACCCTCCCACACACTTGCTGGCTTGGTGATAGGTCCAAACGCACACAGCAGCGTGACCGAACGGAAGAAAAACGCACGGAACGAGCGTTTTAATCCCCAAAACGCGAATGGATCCGCACACGTGCAAAAAATGTGGTAGGCATGGTTCATATGCCCGTGCCAATGACCGATCATGCTCGTCACCCTCCCACGCCCTTGCTGGCTTGGTGATAGGTCAAAACGCGCACAACCGCGTGACCGAACGGAAGAAAAACGCCCGGAATGAGCGTTTTCACCCCCAACACGCAAAAGGATCCGCACACGTGCAAAAAATTGCAACAGGCATGGTTCATTCGCCAATGCCAATGATCGATCAAGCTCGACACCCTCCCACGCCCTTGCTGTCGTGGTAATAGGTCCAAACGCACACAACCGCGTGACCGAACGGAAGAAAAACGCCCGAAACTAGCGTTTTCATCCCCAAAACGCGGAAGGATCCGCACATGTGCAAAAAATGCAGTAAGTATGGTTCATTCGCCAGAGCCAATGACCAAGCGTGCGTGACCAAGCGTGACCAAGCCGGCACGGAAGCATCTTAAGGGGGCACTTCTTATCGTGTACTCCCATTCTGTACCGCGACACCCGCTCCCAGCAGGGCGTGTTCGCACACGGGAACTCCTGAAACAGGCACCGTTCCCGGTGCGAATCCAACCCCGCGACAGCGGCGAATTGGGCTGAGCAATGCGCGGTACCCGCGGCATCAACACAGCGAATCAGCCACTGGACAAGGATGATCCTTAAAGCCTTGTCAAGCAGATCAGACTCCTCAAGCTGCTGAGCCAGAGACGCAACCTTGATTAGGTATTGATCCACTTCGATAAGAGAATGTATACAAAATTTGCGTTAAACACTATATACAGATGCTATTTGCTTGGGATAACACACTTCACACCACTTCACCACCCTGTTCTTCGTCCAGGTTGCATTTTTTTCAGCTGCTCTTGTAGCACAGACACCTCTTTCTTCAGTGCTGTTGCACTCCTAGCCTCTGCCCGAACCCCACTTAACTCTTGCTCCAATGATGTGACTTTCTTGTTGGACGCTTGAAGCTCCTTGCGCACAGTTTCCACATCCACCTTCCCTTGTCTCTCTGTGAGGGATATAGACTGCCACAATAAACGGCCAAAGGGAAGGCGAGAGAGGGAGAGGTTGGAAGACAAAGAGGGGTGGTGAGGAGAGGAGAGAGTGGGTGGTGTGAAACAACCTGAAGGTTGGGTGTGTTGGAGCAACTCAATCATTAGATAAAAAATTAGGCTCGTAAGGGGCTCCAAGAAAGAGGAAAGAAAGGAGAGAAAAAAAAAGGTTTTCACCATCTCACCTTCTCCAGCATGTCGAGCCGTCGCGCTACAACCTGCCCCTCCTGCCTCATCTCCACCACCAGCTGGCACGCCGCCCGCAGATGCCCCTCCACCCTCTCTCTACAGTGCTTCGCCACGTCCTTTTGCAGCAGAGGCAGCGTGCACCCCATAGGGGCGTACGGGCAGGGGACGGATTTCATCCCACAGTCCGTCGCACAGTGCCTCTCCATACCCGCTCGTGCAATCGTCAGTCTACACCCCTGCCGGCACGGCAGCATCTTAAGGGGGCACTTCTTATCGTGTACGCCCATTCTGTACCGCGACACCCGCTCCCAGCAGGGCGTGTTCGCACACGGGATCTCCTCAAACGGGCACCGTTCCCGGTGCGAATTCAACCCCGCGACAGTGCCGAATTGCGCCGAACAGTGCGCAGTGCCTGCAGCGTCAACGCGGCGAATCAGCGACTGCGCAAGGTTGATCCTTAAAGCCTTGTCAAGCAGGTCAGACTCCTCAAGCTGCTGAGCCAAAGACGCAACCTTGTCTTCAGTATATTCCACACGCCTGAAGGCGGATGAAAAGCGACTCAGAAGGCTCTGGCGCTGGGCCACGAACTCGTCTAAAAGAGCCTGGATGGTGGTAACCACAGGAGAGTTGAACGGCTGCTTCTCCTCTCCATTCTGCTTCTCCTGCTGCACTGCTGACACCGAGGCTTCTTTCCTTGAACTACTTGCTGCAGCCTCTGCTCCACCCTCCCCTCCTACTCTTCTATTTCCCCCCTCTTCCCCTTCTTCTTCCTCTCCCCCATGCCCGTGCCAGACCCCAGTCCAAGCCTCAGTAACATCAACAGCAGCAGCAGGAGGGGTTACAGCAGGGGCGGTGAGACCCTGCTGCTTGGTGCGGGAGTCGAGGAACGTGAGCAGCTCGCCTTTGACTGCCTCTGCTGCTTCTAACGGGGATGGAGGAGAGGTGAAGAGAGTGACGGAGCTCTCTAATTGGTCGATTGTGGCGGCTGCTATGGCAGGAAGCAGCCTGGAAGCCACGGCTCGGACCTGAGAGATACACAGGGGAAAGGACCGAGAAGCAATAAGGGGTTAAACCAGCACGAGTACTAGCATGCGGAGCAATGGCACAATCAGAGATGCAAACGAGGTTCTGAAAGCGGCTATCTTACCAGGTGTCTCTAGCATGGTAGTGTGGGGAGGGAGGGAGCGGAGGATGGAATGGAATAATTAGGCCGACTGACGACCAGTGTATTTGAAATGATTAAACACTCTACACACGGTTCCTTTATGCGGTGATCGTTTTTTGCAGACAGTCACACAACATGTATCACACTTTACACCGATTTTTACCTGCTCCACATCAGAATTGGGACACTGAACGCTCCCCAGAGGGTCTGTAGCTGTCGTTACACCGGTCCAATACACAAGCCCAGACGCTGCTGCTGCTCCCTCCCCTGACCCCAACTGGACCCCCGCTCCCCCTAACTCCCCCCCAGCCTCCCCTCTTTCCGCTTCCGCCTCCGCCTCCCCCTCCAAACCCCCGTTTCCTTCTTCTCTACGCATGGCTCTCCCCCTTTCCCCTTCCCCCGCATCCGCGGATGCGCGCCTTTCTCCCCCCCCGTTCCCCGCTGCCGTCCCCGCTAGCGCCTCGAGCTCCACTTCCTGCTGCGCCGGTGACTGTACGGAGGGGGAACGCGGAGGTGACAGATCCGGGGGTGACAACGGCGAGGGGAGCTCTTCTGTGAATGGCGACGACGGAAAGAGGGAAAACGCGGCAGCTAATATCGAGGGTGAGGAACTGACGGCGGATAAGGTTGGCTGCGGTGCTGTTCCCGCTCCTGCTGATGTTGATAATGCTGATGCTGACGTGGCTGAATGCAAAGCTGCTGGGTGCGGTGACGCGGGTGTCTCAGCGATACCCGCGTTACCATCACAACCTGGTACAGTCACACCAGGAGTCCTAGCGTGATCGCGCTTCGACGGATCAGTCGATCCTGAACCGCGAATTGCAGGAATTCCTTTCATTTCCTCCGTTACAGTCCCCTCCGCTAGGGGAACATCATGGTATTCCTCCACGTGCTCTTCCGTTGTTCCCGGCCTAAAATCAGGAAATTCCGTCGTGGCGATCCCATCGGTGCAAGCGACATGATCCGAATCTCCGACATGATCTGCGGAGCCGCCTTCGCGACTGGAATCTGTCAAAGCCGCGCTCGGCGCGGCTTCCGATGTCATATGGGAGCGTTCTAGCAGGTGCGAAGTAGAATAACCACGGCGAAGAAATCACGTGACGGTTGGAACCGGTCAAGCGACACTGCGACTACAAGTAATGAAACGGGATTCTTCCACCTCACTAATACTAGGTAAGTGCCTGCCTGAATGCTTGAAGCGGGATTCACGCTGACAAAATTATCACTATGGCTGGGGAAGCTTGAACCTCTTGGACTTGGCTTGATGTCAAAATTATCACTCGCTTGAGAGGGATCCGGCTTGCTGCTCGTCATGTCTAACAAAACAACCTTGATAACGGGAAACCCGAAATCTCTAGTTCCGATATCATGTATGGTGCAAAGTAGTAGAACATCTTGTTTCGCTCGACAATGTCGGAGGAATTCATAGTGCGTACAGCACATTTCCGTCTCGCGATGTGCCCCCCATCCACCAACATCTTCGAATCAAATCAGACCCACCAGCCCCCACAGTCAGACAACCATTCGCTCACCGCAAAATGCGGCCATTCATGCTATCTTCCCGTCTCTCCGCGGTATCCCCTCCCCTTGTATCTTTCCCCGCATCCCCCGTAATTTTCACTGCGCAGCTGACTCCTCAATCCTTCCGCCAAACCCCTCCGCCAACGTTCCCTCGTCAAATCCGCGTCCTGAATCACCTCCCCTCCGCGCAAGTACATAAGCGCGCAGTTTCCCGTCGCCTGGTTGCGCGCAGCGGCGCGCAGAGCGCATCTAACGGGGAGGCTGACCGCGGAGACGATTCGCGCGAGCCGTTCCTGTCAAGAGGCGGCGATGGGGGCGCGGGGGGGGAATCCGGCTCTTCCGAGTCGGAGGCGCGGCGGCTTGCGCTTGACGACGCGGCTCGGGCGGAGATGAGGGCGCGATCTGAGCTCGCGCTTGCGGCGATGGCGGAAGGCTCCCGGGGAGCGGCTGCCGCGGCGGGAGACGCGCCGGGAAACGCGGCGGGAGATACGGGAGGGAGTGGCGGGAGCGGTGACGGCGGCGCGTGGAAGTGGGCGGTGCGGAAGGGCGTGTGGGACGAGCTTGAGGCGCGTGACGTGGCACGACCGCCGCGCCCCATGCACCACCGCATTCCTAACTTTGATGGGGCGGACAAAGCTGCTGCCATGGTGCGCGAGGGGGGGGAAAGGGGGAAAGAAGGGGAGGCGGAATGTGGGTAACGCTGTGGGGAAATCTGACCCCCAAGGCCCGTGCACCACCGCATTCCCAACTTTGAGGGGGCAGGCAAAGCTGCTGCCATGGTATGGTGGGGTGGGGAGTCGTGGGAAATGGGGAAACAGGGGAGAACGGTAAGGGGGAAAAGGGGGAGGGGCAGGGGAAGGTTGTGGTGTGGTGTGTTGTGACCACCGCGCCCCATGCACCACCGCGCCCCCAACTTTGAAGGGGCAGGGCAGGCTGCTGCCTCTTCACCTCCAGCCTCCACCGCCCAGTTACAAACCCACTTCGTGACATGTCTCTCTTCTCTTCCTCCACACCCCCAATCACAAATCCCCTTCCCTTGCCAGGTGTGTTGTGCTCACCTCCAGCCTCCACATTCTTAATCACAAACCCCCTTGGTGACATGCCTCTCTTCTCTTCCTCCACAACCCCCCTTACAAACCCCCTCGCCAGCTGAGGAAGCACGACCTGCCAGTCGACATCATCTGCCCTGCCATGTGCCTCGTGTTGTGACAGCACTCATGCCTTCATTCCCCCCCCCCTTGGTGACATGTCTCTCTTCTCTTCCTCCACACCCCCAATTACAAACCCCCCTGCCAGCTGCGGCTTGCTGTGCTGCAAGGTGTGTTGTGCTCACCTCCAACCTCCACAGTCTTAATCACAAACCCCCTTGGTGACATGTCTCTCTTCTCTTCCTCCACACCCCCCCATTCAAACCCCCTTCCCCTGCCAGCTGGCGTCGCTGCCGGAATTTCAAGCAGCAGGGTGTGTGAAAGTCAACCCCGACACGCCTCAGAAGGCCGTGCGGCTTGCTGCCCTGCAAGGTGTGTTGTGTGCATGCAGCAATCGCTTGGTTCAGTCCTGCAAGCATGCCTGCATTCAAGCAGGCATCTTCGTTGCGTTTCCCACCTCCTTTTCCCTCCCTCCCACACACCTTACCATTTTCACCCCTCCTCCATCTCCCAGGCACCAAGCTCCTTCCTTTCTTCTCTCGCCTCTCGTGCTTCAATTCTCTTTCCTCTCCATCCCCCTCCCCTCCCCCGGCTGTCCTCTCCCCCCCTTCCCGTCCCGTCGCTTTTCTCCTACCCCTGCTGCCCTTCTCCCTTCCATCCAGCCAACGAGCTCCTGCTAACCCCCCAACCGCGCCTGCGAACGGGTTTCTTCTCGCCCCCCCCCCTTCCACTCTCCCTTCCCCACCCCGCACCCACTCTCCCCCCTCCTTTCTCCCACAGCCAACAAGCTCCTGCTCACCCCCTCAGCCGCGCCTGCGAACCGGCTTCTTCTCCCGCCTCTCTGCCGCCCACATAACGCCTCTTCTCCCCTTTTCACCACCTCACCCCCCCCAACCCCCCTCCCCCCCACAGCCAACAAGCTCCTGCTCACCCCGCAGCCCCGCCTGCGAACCGGTTTCTTCTCCCGCCTCTCCGCCGCCCACATTCCGCCCGACCAGCTGCTTGCTGCCTTCCCCTCACCTCACCCCACCCCCCCCCCCCCCCAACTTACCTCCCACAGCCAACAAGCTCCTGCTCACCCCCCAGCCGCGCCTGCGGACTGGTTTTTTCTCCCGCCTCTCGGCCGACCACATACCGCCCGACCAGCTGCTCGCCGCCTGCACGCGGCACTACGCCGCAGATTGGGGAAGCCACGATGCAAGGTCATGAGAAACGTAGGACGGGTGAAAACTGTTACAGATCTAAACTGCAAGGCGATTACCGTCGAGCGTCTCTTTCGCTGCGCGGATCCTTGATATGGTAGTTGCGCTGATCCGTCAAGCCGAGGATTGCGCTGATTGCTGCGCGGACAGTTGCGCCAGTCGTTTTGCGAATCGCTGCGCTGATGGTTGCGCCGATCGTTGCGCTGACCGCTGGGTTGAGCGCGGCGCTGATCGTTCCGCTGCTTGCGCTATTAGCTGCGCTGATATTGCGCTGACCGTTGCGCTGATATCTACGCTGAAAGTTCCGCTGATCGTCAGATCGCTCCGCCGCGCGACGGAACCAACGGCCGTGTCGTAAATCATTCTAGCTGTAACACTTCAGGATGTACCGTAAGCTATACCGGGGTTGCTTCGCACGGAACGAGACTATCTTCGCACTAAGCCAGTCAGTCAAGCGATAGCTTGGGAAGCTATGAGGCGGATGGGATAGCCGGGATTCTGCGGTCAAGATTATCGAGAGTAATATCGAATCTCCAGCAACCAGAGCCTGCAAATAAGTCTACTAAGGTGAATTGTCTCAGAACGCATTTGAGGCAACCACAGCCATGAGATTAATTGCTGCTGGAGACACGAGGTTTGGAGTTAGGAACTCAGGAGAAACTGCGAAAAGCGAAACTTTCATGTCCTAGCCACATTTTTCAACTAATAAGTTTCACGACAGAACTCTGTCCAAGGTGCCATTCATACGAAAGTACAGAGAGTAATTCATTATATAGAGAGGTACAAGTCAGAACCGAGAGTCGTTGCTAAGCTATCTAAGCTCCCTAAGCCAAGCGTAAACAGATCCAGTTGAGCCTCCACAGCAGCGCCTCGACTCCAAAGCAGCTTGATCTTGTTATCTTCTTGACCATCTTCTCCTCGCGTCCACAGCGGCAGCTTGAAAGTCTTCTTGACCCCTCTTGGCCGTCAGAGGCAAATGCCCCTGACGTTACACCCACGCACCACGATGAGGTGAGGGTCATTCGCGTGGGGTCTGCTTGGGAGGGAGGGGGGGGGGGGAAGCGGTTAAAATTAGTGACGGGTAGATGAAAATAAACACATCGAATTTGACGATAGGTTCCCGTTGATTGTTGTCAGAATGTTGTCATAATGACGGCCAGCCGTCAATATGCATACCTGAACTGAACGCACCTTTACCACCCATACCATCGGCCATTTGTGTGTGCCTAATCGAGTCTATCTAACGCTCCTAATCGTTCTGTACCCACTAGCACACCTCTTACAGGCCTGGCGTTTGGGCTGGTTGCTCCTGCTTGTGCAGGTTGCTCCCACTCCCGCCAAAACTGCAGGAAGGGCGGGCTGGGAGGGGAAGTCAAATTCCACCTCGCTCCTTGCTCCTTGCTCCTCACTCCACGCTCCACGTGTGTGGAGCCTCCCTCGAGACCAACTTACCTGCACCACAGACGACAAAAAAAAATCATTAGTCATTATGAAATCGAAACAGCGCGCTAAAAGCGAGAAATGTGACAGAGAGAGGAGTGCAAAACGCGACGAGCGGAAAGGTGACGAGACGACGGGATGAACAGACCACCACGGCAGAGAGAAGCGCCGTCACGCACTGTCAGCCGCGCTGCGCCGTGCTCTGATGCCCCGCCGTCCGTCCCCGAAGAAGCGTCGCCACGCGGCCCGAGAGCTCCCATCCCCGCATCGCCTGCGCTAAAGAAGAACGCACACAAAAATAAGTTAGTTTCATAATCAAAGAAAAAACTTAACGAAATCTGACGGCACTTACCAGGCAAGGGAGACCACCTCCCCGCGTTACCTCCGTTGCTCGCCGCCGGCCCCGCGAGCTCCCCCTCCCGGTACCGCTGCTCCTGCACTAAGACGGAGCAGACAAGAAGTTAAAACCTTGAAAAGCAAAAGCAGGAAACTGAAACTGATACTTACCACGAGAGAAGAAGGCTGCAGCCGTTGTCCCTTGTCGCCGCCTGCGCCGTTTGCTCCCCCTCCCGCTCCTCCTGGCTGCACTAAGACGAAGCACACAAAAAGAAGTTAATCTCTGGAAGGAAACGAAAGCAGGAAACGGGAAGTGATGCTTACCACGTTGATGTTGCCGCCGAGCGCAGAGAGTGTTGTAGAGGACTCTCCTCTACTTTGCAGGAACTGGGAGTTGTTCTAAACGATAGAGCACAGTCTTGGCTTTCCAACAAGCCGTCAAACACGTTAATCGCCCAAGTATACGCCGAGATATTGGCGTTCACGTGATTGCTAGTGCTCTTAGAAGCAAGGATAGACCTCTCTGGAATTTTGGTTCGAATGGACCATGTACAAGAAGATTCAGGATTTCAGTATAAAGCATGCATACAAGGCAGGTCGATTTATAGCAAATGCATTACATCGAACCGCACATGTAACATCACATCGCTACACTCGCGTCGCGAATGCGCCGCGTGTAACATTTCGGTTGGGGTGAAATTCGACCACCGAATTTCACACCGAACACACCGAATTCGCCTTGCACTTGAAGGTTGGAATGTGGTGCCGCCACGTGGCACCGAAGGGTGAGTCTCCCGAAGTCAATCGGTGCCACCCCACCGATCCCTAGTCAAAGGGATCGAAGGCACCGAAGTGCCCTCGGTGGGTTGGGGGCATACCACCGCCCCACCACCGTTTCCTTCCAACACTCCCCCTTGCACCCAAGCCACTAGGTGTTCATACCAACACGCTCACGGCATGCACGGAATGAATCCTTAGGGAGTGGTTTAGTGAGGAAATCCGCGGGTTGCGCCTTGGTGCTTATGTATGTGACCTTGACCTCACCTCTCTCGACCACCTCACGAATGAAGTGATGCTTCACCTCAATGTGCTTGGTACGCCCGTGAAGGACGACATTGTGAGTGAGGTTTATGGCCGCTTGGTTGTCACAAAAGAGAGGAGTTGGGTCGGCTTGAGGATGCCCAAGCTCCGCTAGAAGGCGCCGTAGCCATATTGCCTCCATGGCTCCTTGAGTGAGTGCCATATACTCCGCTTCCGTTGTGCTTAGAGCCACGGTTGGTTGCAACTTGCTTTGCCAACTCACGGCTCCCCCAAGCAAGGTGAAGACGTACCCGCCGGTACTCTTGCGCTTGCTTTGATCACCGGCATAATCCGAGTCGGTGTAGCCCTTAAGCACGATTGGACCGGCTTCATATACGATTCCCAAGTTGGGTGTGCCTTGGAGGTAGCGTAGAACACGTCCTCCCGCACGCACATGCTCGGTATGAGGGTTGCTTACGGCTCGTCCAAGTACCCCGGCGGCGTATGAGAGGTCGGGACGGGTGGAAACGGCGGCATACATGAGTGAGCCGACTAGCGAATGAAACCGCTTCCCTTCGGCTTCGTCGAGGGCGGATTCTTCCTCTCCCGGGAGGCAAGAAAATCCCGTGTCTAGTGGCGTCCCCACCGGGTTGCTATTACCCATGCCGAAGCGCTCCACAACCCCTTTCACATATTTTTCTTGGTGGAGGTGAATGGTCCCGTTCGCGCGGTCGCGGTCGACGTGCATCCCGAGCTAGTACGTCACCGGTTCCAAGTCCCTCATGGCAAACTCCGCCCCTAGCCGTTGCTTGACCTCTCGAATGAGGTCTTTGGAGTCGGAGAAAAGAAGGAGGTCATCGACGTAGAGCAAAAGCACCAATTGCTTCTCCCCCTCCTTCAACACGTACAAAGCGCTATCACACACGCTACGCGCGAAGCCGTGTTGAAGAAGAAAGTCGTCGATGCGCTTGTACCATCCGCGTGGGCTTTGCTTCAAGCCATAGAGGGTACGCTTGAGCTTCCACACCCGACCGCTACCGTTATCGTACCCCGGGGGTTGCCGCATGTAGACTTCTTCCATGAGAAGCCCCTAGAGGAAGGCGGTGCAAACGTCCAATTGTTCCACCTCGAGGTTGAGAGATGCCGCTAGCGCGAGCAACACCCGAAGAGTGGAGGCCTCACTATAGTGCTCCCCCTCCCGTTGAGTGTACCCTTGCGCCACAAGCCGCGCCTTGTAGCGTTCGACACCTCCATCGGCTCCCAATTTCTTCCTAAGCACCCACTTGCATCCCACCAAGTAGGCACCCTTCGGCGGGTCGACGAGCTCGAAAACATCGTTCTCCTTGATCGATGCTAACTCCCTCTCCATCGCTTGCTTCCATAGCGGTGCATCCGGGGAAGCCAAAGCCTCCTTGTGAGTGCGTGGGTTATCGTCGCCGATGGTCGCTAGGCAAATCGCCGCACTCTCCTCATCCGACTCCCCAACGGCGACCGTAGCATAGTCGGTTAACCTCGTGTTGGGGCGAGGTGTACGACGCCCGCGAGTCAACGCCAATGGTAGGGAAGAAGGTGCGGAGGAAGTGGCTTCCTCGGTTGGTGGCACAGCCTCGACATCATCATCGCACTCCTCGTTCTCTCCCCCTCCACTTTCGGCTCCCTTCTTCACGTGCGGTGAAACCTCCACCGCTTCATCCTCCTCTCGTGCGGGAAGGACGACGGTGAGTTGCGGCGTTTGTTTCTCCTTTGTCGGGAACTTGTCTTCGTCGAAGATCACATCCCGAGACGTGACGACGCGTTTTTCATCCAAATCCCACACTCGCCATGCACGCTCGTTCGCCGCAATCCCCAAGTAGATCGCCGTACGAGCTTTCGGTTGCAACTTGTGGCGAAGTGGATCCGGTACATGGTAGTAGCAAAGGCACCCAAAGGTGCGTAGGCGGTATAGGTTCGGCTTCGTTCCGGTCCATGCTTCGAACGGAGTCGTTCCCGGTAGCACCTTTGTTGGCACACGATTACGAATCCATGCCGCTAGCGCACTCGCCTCTCCCCACCACTCGTTCCCAAGCTTGGAGTGTTGAAGAAGTGAACGAACGGCCTCCATCAATGTGCGATTGAGCCGCTCTACCGCTCCATTTTGTTGGGGTGTGTAGGGTGTCGTGACGTCGTGCTTAATGCCCTTGCTTTTCATCCATTTTTCAAGCTCGTTGCTCA